AGGATGTCCTAAAGCATCTTACAGCCAATAAGGAATTTTCAAAGCGTGGCTATTGTTTTAAAGAACAAATACGACAGCTAATTCGTGCACAGCAAGGTCCCACAAATCATCCACGAGACAACAAACTGATAGTCTGTGAAAGAAAATATACATTAATGATGTACTTACTTCAAAAGAAGACTATTGGAATTCAATTTATATTTTAGACATTTCCAGACAGATCTTTACGAAAGGTTTGGTTTGTCCCAAATCAGACAGAAATTTGTCATAGACAGAAAACATAGTTTTGGTGAAAATTAAAGTAGAATGTTAAAAGGGGTAAGCCTGAAGTACTAGTACCAAAGTGAGTCCTATTCCTGGTTGTTATTGTCCAAGGATATATTTCCTGTGAGGCCCACTGGCTGTGGAAGGCCTCAAAATTCTCTTATGAGTTCCAAAGTTACTTCTCCAGAAGCAGCCAAGCACGGATAGGACTACAGGAAAGAGTGGTCAGGCAGTCACATCAACCTATTACTCACCCCAGACTCCACCACGAACCAGATGACTCTACCTATCATAGACTTGTGGATGGCCAGGCCACACCAGGCACTGCAGTAGGTGCAAAAGAATTCATTCAATTGCAAAAGAACAAAGCAGCCCGTTTGATTGGCACCACATCCACAAACATGCACTCAATCCACCACCGATGTCAGGTACCAGCAGCATGTACCATCTACAAGATGCACTGCAGAAATTCTCCAAGGTTCCTAAGACAGCATCTTCCAAACCCATGCTACTTGTAGGGTTCCCAAAGGTCTTCATGATAACTGTAGCAGACCTGACACCCTGATTTGATCGACCCTTTATTATCCATTGTCCAATAAGGAAAAGAGAATGGACTTTGAAATCCTTCCAACTAGCTAAAAGCAGCTTAAACCATTTATACTAAAACAGGATTGGGGCGTGATATTTTGAAGTAATTAGAGAATCTCAGGGAAAAGTAGGTGACTCGTCCATCTAGTTCTACTTAGATTGAATTTAAATGCTAATTGTGGATAAAGGAACTAGCAATTAATTATTTAGCACAACAGTCGGGGACACACGGGTGCCCTCAATTCAACCCCAATATCATTCATGTTGAACCAAAACAGAAATTGTTGGAAAAACACAGCAGGTTTAGCAGCATCTGTAGAGAGAAATCAGAGTTAACGTTGCAGGTCCAGTGACCCTTCCTCAGAACTTTCCTATGATTTCTCTCCACAGATGCGCCCAGACCTCCTGAGCTTTTCCAGAAATTTCTGTTTTTGTTTCTGATTTCCAGCATCCGCAGTTCTTTCGATTTTTATTTTGTCATTCATGTTGATCCTTAGAGTTCTTGTATTCTGGCCCCCTCTAGTGGCAGAGCTCATGAGTAACATGCCTGTCGTTCATTTAACAGGGACTCAATTGCTTGGAATTTCTTCTCTGCAGACTGAATTTCTTCAGACTGCATTTGGTGCTATCCATAAGGAATGTGAACAAAAAAAGGGTTATTGGCTCACAGAAGCACATTTCTCTGGTCTTTTACCTGCACCAGCATAGTCAAAATGTTGTAAATGATTCAAGCTCTACTGTTCCACTGAGCAGATTATTCTGAATATTAAAGTTGTCTTCCGGACTGACTATAAAGCTTCAAAATGCATAAAACTCTTGTATTGCTGGTTTTCTGTTTTCAGTTATTAATAGATGGCTGAAAACTCAGGTAAACTTATTCAGACTTTTATCCCCAGGCTCCCTGAGGGACAAAGGGCTGTAAGACTCTGATGCTAGTTCCAGTCCATTGCAATCTCTTTTGCTTGAATCCAAATAATTTACCGTTCTTGGAATTCCTCCTTAAATGTACCACACTAGGTCTTCTTTGGCCAGACCCATTGTCTTTTCCCCTCTAGTTGTGTCCATTAAAATGCCACTCTGGCAGGGTGTATGTCGAGGAGATAAAGTGCATGCCCTTTAAGTCTCAGTCAATTCTCCGTCACAGTGTCCTCTAGGCACCTCTGGCCAGTCCTGTGCAGGTTTTCTTCATTGGTGACATCCTCATTCCGAGTGATGCCCAGAATCTTAGCCCCAGGTTGAAGAGGATTCGTACAGGACTCAAAACATCAACTCTGCTTCTTTCTTCACAGACACTGCCCGACCTGCAGAGTTTCTCTGGCACTTTCAATATTTTGTTTATCCCTGACTGTCTTTAAGAAGGTGAGGGGAAGCAGACATTGGGACCACTGCAGTCTATAGGATGCAGGTTCACCCACAATGGTGTTAGGGCAGGAGTTCAAGGATTGCAGTGATGATGAAAGAACATCAATCTATTTCCAACTCAGGCTGGTATGTGATTTGGAGGGGCACCTAGAGGTGCTGTCATTCCCTTTTCATATCCAGCCCTTGTTCTTCCAGGTGGTGGAAGCCTAAGGTTTGGTCAATTCTTGGATGTGATCATCTTTCATGGAGAAGTCTAGGTTCAGAGTGGCAACATCCAAGATTGAAAAGTGTAGGAGACAAACAAGATAAGTGAAGAAGTTGAATTTTGATGATTCCAAGTTTGAGTTTCAGAATCTGAGGAATTGGAGACCGAGGGGTTTGAGGAGAGTGCCTCTTTTGGCAAAGATGGAGATGATCCAATATGCCATAAGCCAATAAGTGGGTTTTGCCTCTGGATCACAAACTTCAGAGAATCCCTACAGTGAGGAAGCAGGCCATTTGGCCCATCAATGACCCTCCAAAGAGCATCCCACCCAGATCCACACCCATACCCTAGCTCTGTAACCCCACATTTTCCATGGCTAATCTACCTAGCCTGCACATCCCTGAACACTATGAACAATTTCCCATGGCTAATCTACCTAACCTGCACGTCTTTGGACCGTGGGAGCAAACTGGAGCATCTGGAGGAAATTCAATGCAGACATGGGGAAAATGTACAGACTGCACACAGATAGTCACCTGAGGGTGGGATAAAACCCAGGACCCTGGCATTGTGAAGCAGCAGTGCTGACCACTGTGCCACCCCCAAAGTTCTAACTCCTACTGTAGGGTTTCAGCCCAGAAACTGAAGCTGACATTCAGTGCAGTAGGCTAGGAGATGACTCTCAGATGAGATGTGAAACCAAAGTCTTGTTTGGGTAGATGAAAATTTTTTTTAAAAAGGTGCAGTTTTGAAGAAGAGGAGATGAATTATTTCTGGTGCCCAAGTCAATGTTTATCCCTCAGTCAAAAAGAAACAATTATCTGGTTGCAATCACATTGCTATTGTGCAAGCTTGCTGTGTGCAAACTAGCTGAGGTATTTCCTACAATACAACAGGGACTATACTTTAACAAAGTGCTTCATTGGCTGTAAAGTACTTTGAGTAGTCTAGTGGTTGTGAAGAATGCTATATAAATAGAAGTCTTCGTTGTTTTGAGAGAGGTTGTGGAATGTGCTGTATAGTGTTCAAAAGCAAGCAAGAGTCAAAGAACTGTTATGAGCCCACAAAATAGAAAAATAAGTTTAGAGAGCCTGTTATTATAAAACATTCAGAGATGAGAGGCATAATCTATTAGATGCAAAATACTTTCTCTAACAGCCATTGGGTTCAAGTTTACAACACTTGAGAAATACCAGATCCTGTGTAAAATTACTCTTTGATCCAACTCTGCTTCTTTCAGTGAATCTTAAAGTGGTAGAACCCTTTCCCCCAAATCTTCAACCCTTTAGAACCCGCATTTGGCAGTAACTCGTTTTGACTTACACCTTAGCAGAGGCCTGCGCTATGGGTTTTATTGGAGTTTAATGGATACTGTGGCTTAGCGGTTTGATCCAAGAGGTGAAGAGGTCAAATCCTACAGTGGCGAGTTAGAAAATTGGTCATAGAGAGCTGCCACCAAATAAAGTAATTGTAAAAGGGCACCGGTAAATTCCGAAAAGCACTGAACCCCTTCAGAAGAAGGCATCTCCCAGAAATACATGGTCCGGTGTACAATTGTGCGTCCATCCCCACACTACATTAAAATGGGGACCTACCTGCATCCTTTGCAGCCCAACATCAATGATAGAATCATCTAACCCAAGAAGAGGTCACTCAGCCCATCGTGCTAGTACCAGATGGTGCTTTATATTAGTCCCACTCCCCATCTCTTTCCCAATAGCCAAGCAATTTTCACCCCTTTACATTTTATTCACTTCAATTTTGACAGCCAGTATTACATCTACATGCACCATCCTATTACATAGAGAATTCCAAATCAATACAAACCTCAACCCAAAAATATATCTACTAATGTCCCACTTTGGCTCTTTTTTAAGCACATTAAATGGGTAACCGAAAGAACCGAAAATATGGATGCTATAAATCACAAACAAAAATAGAGATGGCTGGAAAAGCTCAGCAGGTCTGGCAGCATCTGTGAAGACAAATCAGAGTTAACATTAACAAGACCCAAAATGTTAACTCTGATTTCTCTTCACAAATGCTGCCAGACCTGCTGAGCTTTTCCAGCCATCTCTATTTTTGTTAAATGTGTGACCTCTTTTTAACAACAGACCCCTGCCATTAGGAAACAGTTTCTTGTTATTTATTGGATCAAAACCCTTCATAATTTGGAAAATTTCTATTAAGTCTTCCTGCCAAACTACACATATTCAAATGTAGGAACCTGTTTTCTGCAGGATAAAAGAACATGCCACTGTATTGTGTCTTATTAAATGAGACAAAAGCATGGGGGAGCAATAGTTTCATGGTATTTTCTTCATGGCAACAACTTGACCAATCAGAGCTGTCTTGTCAACCAGCCAGCACTCATTCCTCATGTAGTATAAATTGTTGTTTCCTTTGTAATTTGTCATTCTTGTGTCTGTCCTGAAGAGTGCAAGATAGAAAGCTTCAACATCATTTCTCCTGTTGTGGCAATAATAAAGAGAAGCTCACCTGCGTTGGTCGGTCTGGTAATACATATCATTTCCTCTGTCTGTATCTGGCTTTGATAAGCCTGTGGCAATCATTCTTTCAGCTTACGTCCTGCCAGTTAAGGTGGAGATGGAGATGGTCGTCCAACAGTACGAGAAGGCCAAACAGGTCCGAGAGGAACAACTTGAACGACTCACACAGATTTGTCAGGAACAAGCTGTAAGTATGATCACAAGAGAGATCCAGTGTTTAGAAAACACCTTTCACAACCGAGGACGTCCCAAAGTGCTTTACAGACAGTTATGTACTTCTAGAAGTGCAATCATTGTTGTAATGTAGGAATGAATTTATGCACAGCAAATACCCACAGGTAATGAGATAATAGCCAGTGATATTGATTGGTTGATGTTATGGACCAGACAGAACTCCCTCAAAGTATATTCAGAAGATAGTCTAGACCCTAACTTTTTCTTATTTTAAAGATAAGTGTAAGATGATGCATTCCAGACGCAATCCAGTTGGTCAAACTACCAGATTTGAACAAAACACATTTCATTCATATACTATAGTTAAAATACAACAAAAGAAATAAGAAGTTGGAATAACTTAACTCTATTGGAAAACTTAATAGAATAATAGATAATTAACAGCCATTAATTAACTGGTCCAATATAATAACATCCCATAAACACACCCTTGGGAAATGGCAAGTTCAGCAAAATAGATTGTCTCACAGGCAATTCTCCAGTCCAGGAGAGAAAAAAATACTTTAAGAGAGAACACTGAGAGAGAGAGTAGCAGGGAGAGATGTACTGCAGCTTCCACCCAGCTTCAAGACTCAGCAACAATTGCTTCTGAAAAACTAAAACTAAAAGTCCTGATTCTGTGGGAGCTTGCCCCTCCCATTCAGGCTGCTTCTATTGCTCCAACTTTAAAAAAACCCCAAGGCTTCACGAGCTGTTTACTTTAACTTAACTTTATTACGTATTAATAGACAGCTTGGCACCTCTGTCTTAAAACCTCTCTTCAAAAAAAAGGACAAAATACATCTCTTTAAGCCATAGTATTGTCACAGAGACACAAAGGGAGAAATTCCCAACTCTTCTTTGAAGTAGTCATGCAGGGTCTTTTATGAGGAAAGGCAAGAAATTGACTCTTAGGTCATAGTACTCATTCGGAGAGCTGGTACAGAACCTATGGCCTGAATGGCCGCCTGAGCCATAACATATCTATTTTATCCACTCAAGAGGACTGAAGGGCCTCAGTTTAAAATCTTGTCCAAAAAGCAGCACCTCTGGCAGTGCAGCAGTCTCTCAGCAACTCAATGGAATGGTCAGTCTGGATTTTTATCCTGAAACCTACAATCTTTCTGCCTTGGAGGTAAGAGTGTAAATCCAGTGAGCCACAAGTGACACCATGCAACATGTGAACTGTAGAATCGTAGCAATAGCCAATACAAAGATGATTCCTGGACTCCTGAGAGAGAGGTCCAAGTCTTGAATTAACAGTGTCCCAGAGAGGAGAATGAATAATCTTTTTAGAAATCTTTATCCTGATTTGATAGAGCGAACCATGAAGTGATGGCATTGCTCACAAGTTGACCTGTTTGTTATCCAGAGAATATTGAGAGTGTGTGTTCGTCTCATGCTCATGTTAAGTAAAACAGCCTATCACAATACTTCGCCCCACATGCCTGACGGGAAAGGCTTCACTTCATGTCATTGGTCACATTGCAGGGTCTTTTATTTGCATAGTACTGGGTCCTCGAATCCTCTCCCTGAGGGCAGGTCTGACCCACCGAGCTGTAATTCCCACCAAGGGTTGGGCGAGCAGGCTGATGGTAAATCCAATCCAGGCTGTCGCTGGGACTGAGCTCCATGAGGTTGACACTGATCTAATCCAGTCCATCCATCTGGCCAAACGTCCACTCCCTCCAAGGAGTCCAGGTTGCTATGACAACATACACTTTTACATGCATGTTGTAGCCTGGAGTCATGGATAATGATGGTGGAGACTCCAACTCCCTCTCCATCTCTTGGCTGACCTGGAATCTCTGACTGCCTGCCATTGGCAAGTGTTGGAAGGATTTACAGGTTTGACCTGTTTTGCTGCTTTAGGAACACACCCTCCTTGACCATCAATGGGTGGGACTCAAACTCAGAGCTTCTGGCTCCAAGGCAGGGACACTACCCATGGCACCATAAGACTTCCAAAGCAAGGAATGATAAATTATTAAGTTGATGTAACTGTGCACTAGTCAACATCAGTCTGGTGTAATTGATGACTTTGTGGGGTCAGTCTGGTGAAAATTATTTGTTACCATATTAAATGAAGGCACAATGCCAATTGTGGGATCTTGCTGTGCAGAAATTGGCTGCCACATTTCTCACTCTGAAACAGTAACTACGCTTCAAAAATGGCTACAAAGTACTTTAGGGCTTGCCGAGGTTGTGAAAGTTGCCATACAAATGCAAGTTCTTTCTTTCTGTGGTAACATTACATCAAATTGAAATGGGAACCAAATGGTGTCATTGAGGTAACCTCCAACAAGCTGAGATTTCTAAAGCTGCCCAACTATTAGAAGTAAATTGTTCATTCGAAAGTCAATGTTTAAATATTGCTGCTTCCTAGGATAAAATCAGTAAAAAAGGGGTGGATATAGCAAGAACTACAGATGCTGGAGTCAGAGTCAATACAGTGTGGAGCTGGAGGAACACAGCAGGTCAGGCAGCATCAGAGGAGAAGAGTCAACATTTCGGGTCGGAACCCTTAATCAGGACTGATTAAGGAGTGGAGATAGACTTTAACTGGAACTTTACTGCAGTTTTGTAGTCACATGCATGCAGGAAACACTGAGGCTACAAATTTTTAATTCAAAGTAAATATTAAGATGTAAATTAAATTGTCAGAATTGATCTGAACACGAGAACAGGCGGACCCTGTTAAAGGAGATGGAATAGAAGAGAAATATTTCAAATATCTAAGTCTACATTATTGTCGTAATCATCTCCATTCTTGACAACATGTGAAGGTTAAGGGAAGATTCAATAGAGGCTTTTCAAATTCTGAAGAGTTATAGTAGAAGAGATAAATACAAACTACTTTGAGTTATAAGGATAGGCTGGGACTTTTTTCACTTGAGTATAGGAGGTTGAGGGGTGACCTTATAACGCTTTACAAAATCATGAGGGGCATAGATAAGGCAAATAGCAAAAATCTTTTCCCTAAGGTGGGTGAGTTCAAATCTAGGGGACATATTTTTAAGGTGAGAGGAGAAAGGTTTGAAAGGGACCTGAAGGGCAACTTTTTCACACAGTAGATGGTTCATGTGTGGAATGAACTGCCAGAGGAATTGGGAGATGCAGATATAGTTACAGCAATTAAAAGACATTTGGATAGATACATGAATAGGAAAGGCTTAGAGGGATATGGGCCAAATGCAGGCAAATGGGACTAGCTTAGTTTGGGAAATTTGGTCAGCATGGACAATTTGGACCGAAGGGTCTGTTTCCATGCTGTATGATTCTATGATGCTATGACTCTATGACTCTACTCCCAGTGACAGAGAGGTGGATATCAGAGGACCTGAAATTGGGACTGCTAAATATAGGAACCGGGGCAGATGAAGAGAGTGAGTCTCAGGCACTGAGTTACTATGATCAGGAGTGCACAACATGAAGGAATGCTGGAATTAAATTCATTGATGACTTTCCAAAGAAACTTTTATGTGCAACAAAAACAAAGTTGCTGGAAAAGTTCAGCAGGTCTGGCAGCATCTGTGAAGGAAAAAACAGAGTTAACGTTTCGAGTCCGGTGACCCGTCCTCAGAACTCTTATGTGCATTTGAAGAAAGTTTTTGGGTTTCACAGAAAGATAAATTGAGTGGGTCCTTCAAAGGGCTTGCACAATGAGCCAAGTAACCTCTTTCATGCTGTGCAGTTGCACTGAGGATGATAAATGGGGCTGACATATCCATTCACGGGATGTGGGTATTGCTGGCTAGAGTAGCATTTATTGCCCATCACTAATTACCCTGGAGAAGGCGGTAGTGAACTACCTTCTTGAACTGTTGCTGCTGTTCTTGGGCTGTTGGTACACCCAGAGTGTTATTGGGAAAAGACAGCCTGATTTGTTGTCCTTTGCAACTTGCCCTGAGTTCACCTTGAGCCGTGTGAGACTGGAGTCACAAAGAGATCAGACTAGGTGGATGTTGTAGGAGAATGAAGGACATCGCTGAGGGACTTGAGGCTGTTTTCGTTTGAGAAAAGAAGATTAAGAGGTGACTTAATAGAGACATACAAGATGATCAGAGGATTAGATAGGGTGGACAGTGAGAGCCTTTTTCCTCGAATGGTGATGGCTAGCACGAGGGGACATAGCTTTAAATTGAGGGGTGATAGATATAGGACAGATGTCAGAGGTAGGTTCTTTACTCAGAGAGTAGTAAGGGC